GTTATCAGTAAAAGTATGCGCACTGATAAGAGCTGAACTAGCAAAAAGATCTTACAAATGCTCTCTCTCACACACATACACTCTACAGACGTTCTTGTCTCTCCTCCCTTCAGCGTTTCACACACTTTAAAAGCCCATGTGGTGTACCGATGCTTTAAATCTCATGTTCATCCTGGGTTGTTTTCGGGGATTTAGCCACATCTGTAATCAATGAGGGAGTTATTGATTTGTGATTATCTCCTGCCGTTTACAAAATCACATCTCTCTGATGTTGTGAAACATGGCCAGTAGGTCCTCACAAAGGACCTTATGGATTAGAGCCATCCATGAACAGTGTTTTTCAGAGGATAATTGCAGCCCAGTTTAATATTCAACCTCTTGTGAAGGGAGGCCCTCGTCCTCACCTCCGCTCCTTTGTGTGTTGTAGCCAGAGGCTGGGGTTAGACTGAGGGGTGAATCTGGGGAGAGAGTTCAGGGGTTCACTGGGCTCTTGGGGTGGAGGTCACCCATTCGATCAGGTCCTCAGGTCTGTGAATGTCTGATGTTGCATTATACGGCCTTGAGCTGCTTTTTTCCCCTATACTACACACATGCTCATTTTACTTAAGCATCAATAATTACTGCTTGATTATATCACCTAATTTCCAAATAAATACAAATAATATTAATAATAATAATAAAATTACTGCCTGACTAAATTCCAAATAAATACATATAATTAATATGATTTTAATTATTATGATAACTTACATATATTTCTATTCTATATGTATACATCTATTTTATTTATTATGTATATTATATATATTTAATTAAATTTTTTATTATTATTAATTTTTTATTACAGTAAATTTTTTTTGTCAAAATTGCATGTGTATAAATATATTGTACAGTGATTTGGTGCTAAATACATTTTTATTATAATCACATTCAGCAAAAAAAAAAGCTTTTTTTTCAGGATCCTTTGAACCTAAAATTAAAAAGAAAAGCATTTAATAAAAATAGAAAATTATATATTTATCAAAGGTTACAGTACATTTACATTGTTACGATAAATTTGTATTTCAAATAAAGTCTTAGTCTTAGTCTTTTATTTATATAGCACCATATACTTACAATGTTCATTGTCCAAGGTGCTTTACAATTCAAAAATAAAACTAAATACCAACAAAAAGAAAACAATATAACCCTAAAACACAGTTAAGAGAAAAAACAAACAAAAGGCCACATATATACACATTATTTAAAAGCAAGAGAAAAAAAAGTAGTCTTTAAGTTTATGCTTAAAAATGGACAAAGTGGGTGCGGATCTAATGTGTTGTGTGGTAAGCTATTCCAAAGATTGGGACCAGCTACCTCAAACACTCTATCACCCCTATGTTTAAGTCTAGATCTTGGCACCTTTAGTTGAATTTGATTTGCTGAACTAAGCGATCTGGAGGATCTCAATGAATTGAAATAAGGTCAGAAAGGTATGTAGGAGCATACTTATGAATAGACTGATAAACAAATATAAGTACTTTAAAATCAATCCTATATCTTACAAGCAGCCAATGGAGGGAGGCAAGTACTGGCGTAATGTGCTTCCGCTTACGTGTGCGCGTCAATAACCTCGCATCAGAGCTCTGTACTAACTGCAAACGTGAAAAGACAGAATAACTAAGACCAAGATAAAGTGAATTACAATAGTCCAGCAGTGATCAAATTAAAGCATGAATAATCTTTTTTGTGTCCATAAAATTAAGAAATGACTTGATTTTTGAGATTTGACAAAGATGGAAAAAGCAAGACCTAACAATTGAATTAACTTGCTTATCCATTTTAAGGTGACTATCTATAGTATAGCCCAAATTTTTAACATGTGGTTTCAAATCAAACTTAAATTGAGAGAACTTTGCTTTTAAAGTGACTGAGGAGGATGCTGGAAATAAACACTGATCTTTTGAACTTTCTATTATTAGAAAGTTTCTATTATTTGAAAGTTATTTCTAACAGAGCCATTTGACAGTGGTTGCCTGTGATCATGGTCAAATAAACATCATTACACTAAATACAGGGCTAAAAGCAGTGTCCAAAAAGTGTTTTTTGTTTTTTTGAGCCGATCACTGAAACCATATCTGTAAGATGTTGGAAATACATTTTAGTCGTTGATCATATATCTTCTCCCTCGTTCAGCCTTTACAGTTGTAGCAGTCATTTTTACCACATGCTGCCAACAAGCCACTAAAATTCCCATAAACACCCTTGCCGAGGTCAGAAGTCATCACTAACAGCGCTGCATCTAACTTGTCAATCAATAAAATCAATCTTCTTTCTCAAGGCTCTAAGAGATAGTGACACTGCATTAGTATTCACAGAGGATAGCATTTTGAGATAGGCTAACAGGGGTTATTATTGAATGGGTGATGTTTATGTGTCTTTTTACTGAATGTCTTTAACCCTGGTGTCAGAGAACAGTGTTGATGTGACTGAGGGTCCTCATGTTTGCATGCTGATTTTACCACTCACAGGCTAACAGCCGTCCTCTTAAAACAAACACAGATGGACAGCTACTAAGAACTCTCTGTCTCTGCTTCCCTCACACGTACACACACACTCCTCTGGTAATTAAGAAGACGTTTCTTCTCTTTATGGTCTCATAAAGTTCTCTCTGCAAACATGATTGTAGCTTTAAAAGTAATTGAGACTTTGTTTTGCTGCTTATTCTACAGAATTACGACTCTGGCGACACTTGGTGATCGGCTAATCAGCCTTCAGGAGACACATGACAGCTTTATGACAAGAAAAATCAACACACACAATGACAGAAACAAACCACACACACACCTGGACAGATACATAAGCTGAAATACCTGATCAGACAGCCTGTAATTACACACACACACTGGCATTTCTGGTTTCTGTTGAAGAAATGACAACAGCTTGAGATGTCTGCAGGTTAAAGAATCAAAACATACAAGAGAAGGCATCGGCTTGGGGGTATACTATTGCAGTTAAAACTGAATACTTGTAAATCATGCTTCTAGGAATGTTCCGCATTGTGCTTTTAATCCCAACAGCATGTGATTTGTCAGAGAATTAGTCAGTAACATGAAATGACAGACAGCCAGAAACATTTTTGCACGTTAGGTATTTTTAGTTTCTTTTAGTTACCCACTTTAAATGCTGAATTGCTTTCTTTACTGCACAATATGGGCAGAGGGGCATGCAATAATGACCTGTGTTGACATTTATAAATGCTATTCAATGACAGGATCAGTCTATGGACAGGATATATTAAATTTTAAAACATAATCAGTGTGCAGATTATTTAACCTACTATGGTACAGCGTTGCCATATGGCAACAATTAATTTCCACTTATTTCCTTGTTATTCTGAAAAACGTCTGTATTGCAATATGGAAATTAAAAGGGCTGGCCTTAAGGTAGTCAAGGATGTGCTGTTTTTAAGTCAAATGACATTTGAATGTTCTTCCAAAACACTTTTCCCACTTTCACCCTCACATGGAAGACACCTGTTGAAGTGCTCCAGAAATCACTCTGTTAGCCTCATTTCTGAACATCTCTTCTTAAGGTTTTTTTTAATTTTTTTTATCATCTTTGGTTAGTAAATTACATATTTTTATTCAAAAATCAACTTTGTCTAACATAGTTTTACTGTAAATTGAGAAAATATCGATGTTGCCATGTGGCACTACAGAAAAATAGGTATGTTGCCATATGGCAACACTGTACCACAGTGGAATTGAAGTCATGTATTTCCTCATTGGGATTTTTTTTTATAGATAGTAACATCAATAATATGATTGCAGTTATTTATTTATTTGAAGTGTTTATTGTAGTATAGTTGTATTGATGTATGAATAAGAAAATTACTTATTCTTTTCAGAAAATGAATACAGCAATATTTCACGGAAAGGGCAATAGGAAGAGTGCAAATTGGCTCTTCCATGTGATGACAATGAGGATGAGTTAGCCTTAGTGACTGTAACGATGAGAGTGTGTATATGTGTCTGTATGTGTGTGGCAGATTTTTATGGAATTTAAGATTAGATGCATGAATTTCTAAAAGAAATGTGCATTTCAACTGAAAAGAAAATCATAATTTGATAGAAAAACTACTTTTTTTGGCCATTTTCCATTTTAGTACACTTTGCCATATGGCGACGTTTTCCTAAATACCCCTCAACATCTTTTTTCCCTTTCAAAAATCTGTTTTGATTTGCATAATTGAAGCTATTTCATGCAATAAAAGTTTATTTGAAAAAATATTTAATGGTTGGAACATAATGCATACACTCTAAAAAATGCTGGGTTGTTTCAACCCAACTTTGGGTCAAATATGGACTAACCCAACTTTTGGGTTAAAAATTTTATGTAAAAATTTAACCCAACGGTTGGCTTAGTCCATATTTGACCCAAAGTTGGGTTGAAACAACCCAGCATTTTTTAGAGTGTACCATAGAGTGTTGTCAGTGGGATTTGTAAAGAATTTCTGTCAGTAATTTTTGGGGCGCAAATAGTCTTGATGAATAGTCTTTTAGCGCCCTAAAAGCAGTTAGAAATTAGTCTTAACGCCGTTTTAAACCAAACATTTTTGTGATATATTTGCGGTGTGCAAATCTATAATATCTTTATAAATAGCCTAACACTTTCAGCTACCTTTGTCGACGTATTGCAAGATAAACCAGGCGTTTGAACAGCTGTGGTTACCTCCTCAAATGGCAGCATCTTCATGAGCGTGTACATTAGCCCTCACTGACTTGTATTCAAACTTTTGTTCTTACTGAAACGTTGTCATGCCCCCCAAACCCCGCTATAATTCGCGCCCTGAAAAGAGTATGAACAGCAGAATCTTTGCTATTCTTAATTGTTTTTCTGCTGACTCTCTCCGTGGTCCATAGCGCGGTTTGGGTTCGCTGAGCGCAGCTAATTTGACAGTAGTGAGTGAGTAAGTTGATTGAATATTCGGGTTTGGTGTAGTTGATTGAACTCTCTCCAGAGCCCGGTGCTCAAACTGTTAGTGGGAGTCTGTGAGCCAAGCTTTCACACAGCACCAAACGCCCCGCACTTCACAACAGACCCAGCGGCGCAGCGGAGCAGTTGTGCCCGGACAGCGCAGCGCAGAAGAGCGGAGCTTCTTCCGTAGGAACCCGAGACCCTCTTACGAGCCAAAACTACACTGGTGCTCCTTTAAATGATACAGTCCAGTGTGCTTTTGCTACACTTTTCAGCGGTTTAAGGACTGGACAGAGTCGGACAGCTCAAGGCTGTGTGTGAATACGGCTTCGAAGTTCTTCTCAAACACTGCACTGACTTCACGTCTGTTCAGATTTTCTTCACGCCTGGATTTGGAAACTTCAGTGTATTTGGATGATTTGCCCCCCGAATGTAATTCACGAAACATCTGGAAAGGACCCCGCAGACCAAGCTTTCTCAAAAAGCCAATAAACCTATTTTATTTTGATCTCCTAAAGGATTACTGTCAAGAAGGAATCTGGTGAGGAGTTTATTATTATAATTCTTATTATTACATTCTTATATTGTCTTTTACAATTGCCAATTGTAATTTTACAAAAGTCATAATGGAATTTGTTATGAACATAGAAACATGAATTTTATGAATAGACGCATACTTCACGAGAATAACAAAGTTTAAGGCTGCACTCATGCTGCATCATTTCCATGGACGCAAAGCAGCATCAGAGCTGTCTCTAATATATAGGTAACTATAAAAGCTGAAGTCTGCATACTTTACCAGTTTTATGTAGCACTGCGTTTTGACACAGACTTTGAAGCAGACAGAGCTGCTCAGACCAGGTATGTAAAGGCGCCTTTGAGGGGTAGGAAATAGTCTTATCCTCATATTTCTTGTTGTTTCCTTGTTCCAGTTCCAAAACGTGTTTTTCAATTGGGCTATTGATTCAATCAAAGCAATCTGAATGGAAACAAAGTTTTAGTGTAGAAGTGAGCTGCGGTGACATGTGGTGTGTGCCCGTATCGCTTACAGTCGGACAGGTGTTGCGCGGTGTGTGTGTGTGAGTACCGCGTGCTCCAAAGCTGCTCTACCAGTCGCGAGGAGAAACCGCACCTGTGCTGAAATAATTCACAATATGGCTTGATTAAAAATGTTTGCGGTGTATGATTTAGCCTGTTGTGTGGACAGTCGATTTGAGCTGTGAAATTGACTCGTTTCCTGAAGCGCGAGTCAGAAACTAGCCATTCGTCAGCAGCTGGTCTTTGTCATGAGGTGTAGGTGTTTTAATGGTGCCGAAACCCACCGTGGGATGTGAGGTGAGGGGAAACACAGTCAAGGGCGCTTATATCAACCTATCCTTCACGCTGCATGAGTTTAACACAAAACTGTTTATAGCTATTCCCTTTAGACACGCCATATATAGAGCCATTTATATTTTTACCTGTTGTAAACTAAATAAGTCGTTAACGGTCACTCAGTTGGCATGTCTTTCTGATGAGAGACTTAGCCCTTTACAGCTTGAAGTATGACGCATTTTAAAACCAAAATTACATCCATTTCTTCTGCGGCCACCTCAGCAGGGCTTCATTTGTGTTGTTTTTAGCTCACACTGAAGGGAACTTCACCAGTTTTTCCTCCGCCGTACCCAGGGGCCATCTGAAACCAATTGTAGCTATCGGAGTGAATTAGAGTCTCTGGAGGTGTTAACGCAGGCTACTGGGGGCAATTAGCCACCTCATGTACTAGAGTCATTCAAACCCGACTGGAGTCCGTGGTGAGAACTGAACTAGGATGTAAACTGTTAGGTTTTCCCCTAATCTCGATGATATCATTATTTTAAGCAGATCTATTGTTTATATAGGTTTCTTTGGGCTTTAAATGGCTGACAGCAAGAAGTTTCTTGCTGTCAGTTCAGGTTGTCAGATGCTGAAATTTGGCTGCTAAACACATGCACTGTATGAAACGTTCTTGATGTCTTGTTTTCTTGCTGACTTAAATTTTGAAATGGTATCACTACCAACAATACATGCATTGTGCTTTTCAGTGAAATTAACAATTTACTGATTAGGAAAATAATCTCTGAAAACTCAATATAGTATAGAAACAACTGATTACAAGCTTGGATGTTGAACCTATGATAACAATCTCCAACTTTCAGAAATGTCTACACCTTTTTTTGGGGGGAGATAATCATTACTTTTCTAGTCATGTGTCCCATGCACTTTTCAAACCAGCCGTGGTGGAACTAGTAAAGATCTCTCTAAGGCATTCACACAACTCAAATGTGAGAGGTCGTGTCATCAGGGAAAAAAGAAGCTCTTTTCAATTGGAACCTCGACTAATTGTGACCCTTAGCGGACTGGTGCTTGCTCAAAATCAATACGCTACTCTGTGGACTGTCGAAAGTCCTGAATATATGTCATCAAACTCTTTTTGTCTAAAGTTCCTTATGCTTTTTTATACCTTATTAGCTACTGGTAAGAGATTAATATAATATATTATTAAAAACCTCAACAAAAAATGTGCACAAGATCATTTTACACACAATGCACAATGCAGTCCAAGGGCTAAACACAGCATGAATGAAAACGAGGCATACAATAAACAATGGACAATGTTACTGCCGGCTCTCGCTCTTTCATCCTTCTGTTTTTAATTACCCTTATGTTTTTCTTTTTCTATGAATGTTTTTGTGGACAGTGTCATGCCAGATGCTTTATGTAAGCATATGAGATGATGGGTTTAATGCTAGAAAGCCATAATTTCACAGTGACAAACATCTGTAAATGTGGTTTGCAAATTGGTCCTCTTTGATTTATCTGTTTGATGTGTTCCTCCATTGGGATGTTTAAAAGGGTGGGTTAGGGAGTTTATTTCTCACCTTTATTCAGTTGTCTACACTGAAGCATTGCACAAACCCATAGCCTCACACACTCCCACACACACGCTGACAGAGCTCTCAGAGAACCGCAGGAGGGCGAGTGAAGTCCTCGGAAGAGGATTACAGCCAAACTCTAATAGAGACACCTCAGACTTCAGCTTTTCATCTGCTGTCTCTCTCTCACTCTCTTTATCGCTCTCATACTCTCCTTCCTAATCCCTATTTTCATTGGCAGATTTTAGGCTGGGCTGGCCGTTGACATGGCTGCACAATTACTGGAGATTACTGACATTTTTGAGTCCCAGATTTGTTGCAAGGTGTGACTAGCGTGTGATAGGATTCTATTAAAACCTTCTTTCACCCAAAACTATTAGACATTACATGCATAAACGCCCAGGATTTGAAAGAATATTCTTGCACTGCCTTGTTCAGGTCTGTAGTTGTTTGCTTGCCATTAAAAAATCATTATATTTTTTATACTTTAATATGTGTTCTATATCAGTTGAGGGGTCTATAAGCAAGAGACGGAAAAGGAGATGCAGACAGTAAAAACATAGTAGCTAATGTTGAATTATCGGCTAGACTGATAATCATAATATTTCAATAGAGTCCAAATCAAATTCTTCAGTAATCCCCTAGATAAACACCGACTCTTCTGAGAGAGTTAGAGTTTTACACACCACACAGCAACACACTGCAGCACACATCAGTCATGTAACACAGTCCCAGCTGCCTATACCCTAAAGTTTCATTTGCACAGAAGTATATGCATTTAAGTTTGGGGTAAGTTTTTCAAAAGAAATTATTACTTTTAATTAGAATGAATGGTTACAAAAACATTCTATTTTGAAACAAATTATGTTCTTTTGAACTTTCTGTTCAAGGGTATAGAATGATTTCTAAGGGATCATGTGGCACTAAAGACTGGAGTAATGATGCTGAAAAGTCAGCTTTGCTGTCACAGGAATAAATTACATTTTAAAGTTTATTAAAATAGAAAACAGTTATTTTAAATTGTAAAAAATATTTCTCAATATGACTGTTTTTACTGTATTTTTGATCAACTAAATGCTGCCTGGGTGAGCCTAAGAGACTTATTTCAAAAACCTTAAAAAAAAAAACTTTCAGACACTAAATTTTTTAAGGGTATGTGTTAAAATGGCTTATTATAAATGCATAGCTAAGATACAAGCAGACACAGTTCAATATTCAAACTACACCATGCTGTCTTAAGTAACATGTATTGTACAATCATCCATTCATTATCGCTAAATAAACCAAAAGAGGGTGATCAAGATAGTCTTGTATCACAACAAAGAGGTTTATTTTTGCAATAATGACTGGCTTACTGCACATTATCCCATTCATTACACTGCTTATCCCCAAGTAAATAAATAAATTGTGATTTGAGATGAAATTAGAGCATTATGCAGAATGTTGCCTGGTGAAATCGTCAGTTAGTTTAGCTGTCTTGTACCATAGAATGCTGTGATCAACCAATCAGAATCAAATACTCCAAAAAGATGCATAATAATAATACAAGATAAGGCCTTTTCCAAGAATATATCAGAGTTTGTTTCTGTTTTAGGCCTCTCCCCTACTTTTAAACTTTGTTACTGTAAGATAGTATGGCTCCAGAAACATGCTAAAAAAACACACCTACGATACCCACTCCAGAAATATGCTCCACAAATATACCCTTCTTTCCTACAACAGCAAGTGCTGATACACTATCAGCCCACAGCGCAGTGCACGCTCCTGCTCCACCGGCCAGAGAAAACACTGAGTTACTCAACACACCAGCCCGGCTTCTCTCCTTCTCTCTCTTCAGTATGTGCTGACCAAGAATCAAGCGTCTGCTCGTCAAGGGAAAGAAAAACAGCGCCACACTAGCCTCAGGAGAGTGTGTGAGTCCATTCGAGAAGAATGCCACCGTTTAAAGTTAACGCAAACATTTTGTGTGTCTAAACCAAGGCTGTTCTGAAATAACAGGAGTTTAAGTTTAAAGCACCACAGAGTCCTCTCAAATTCTCAGTGTCTTTGAGCGAAAATCTCTCAGCGGGGAATCAAACCATACAGCCTACAGTATATATGTGTATGTGTGTGTGTATTTAAAGTTCTTTACATTCCTTTTATTGTGACTAATGTAAACTCTCTATGTGGCAAGCCGCAGACACACACACACACACACAAGTCCCAGAGTGTAGGGGAGCATATGTTTTCTTTAGAGAGATAAGTGTGTTTGTGTTAGCTTAGTGAAAGACGTGTTTCAGAGTAGACCGACCAGAGAGAAGGAGAAAAAAGGGAGAGTAAAAAAAGAGAAGGCAAAAGAGAGTTTACAACAAATCCCAGTCTCGTCTAAACTAGCGCGGGACATATAATATAAAATCACTCCATTTCATTCACTCGTGGCAGTTGTGTGTGGTCGTCGCACTTTATTTTTCAATTTACAGTGTACGCAGAGAGACTGCTGCAGATATTTGCACGTCAGCACAGAATTTCAATAGTGTTTTGAAAAATGTGTCCCATGTCAAAATAACAAGGAACAGGCCTAAGTTTTATTGAATATCTGTGAGAATTTGTACTTTTTTATACTGTTAAATGAAGTGTTTGTTCTGTGTCCCTTCTCTATTTGACCTCTGATTGTTGATTGTGTTTTTGTGTTTCAGGTGGGGGACGGGCAGCGACAGGACTGTGTTTGTGTGTGTGTGTGTGGCAGCGCTACATTGACAGCATGTGTGGAACGGTGGAGGATGTCTGAGTCTGGTCTCCGTGGTGAGGACACTCGTCCCGGGATGGTCCCGCTCTGTCTCCTTCTGTACTTCGCGGCCCTCATCTTCCCTCCGGTGTACAGTGCCCACCTGCTGTCTCCAGAGCCCACAGGTCAGACATTACATCTCACCTTCTCTGTCTCATGCGCACAAAAACCAGGAAATATCAGATAGTTTTTACATTGTGTTTCTCAAGCCTGGAAAAGTAATTTTAAATATACATTTTGTGTACAAACCATTCAGTTTGGGGTCAGTAAGATTTTTCTAAAAATGTTTTTTTAAATAAGTCTCTTATGCTCGCCAAAGCCGCATTTAGTTAAACAAAAATACTGTAAAAACAGAAATACTGTTAAATATTGTTGTAATTCAGAATAACTATTTTCTATATTAAAATATTTTAAATTTTTATTTATTCCTGTAATGGTAAAAGTGAATTTTCAGTAGCCATTATTTCAGTCTTTATGCTTCAGAAATCATTCTAATATGCTGATTTGCTGCTTAAAAATCTTTTTATTATTATTATTATCAATGTTGAAAATACATTTTTCATGATTCTTTGATGAATAGAATGTTCAAAAGAAGAACATTTATTTAAAAGAGAAATCTTTCGTAACATTACTGTCACCTTTGATCAGTTTAATGCATCCTTGCTAAATAAAAGTATTAATTTCTTTAAAAAGTGTTACTGACCCCAGTTTTTTGAATGATAGCAGGTTTTGCTCTGAAATACTTGGTATATAGATATACAAAGATTGATTTGTGAATATTTTGTTCTGTTCTGAATAAATATATTATGTTCAATTAATCAAATTCAAATTCATTGTCGTGAATCACAAATTAGTGAATCATTAGTGAATCAGTCTGAAACAGAACAATTATAAAAACACTTACAAAGTTTTCTGAAATGACTGGAAAGGTCTTGGTCATTTCTATAGTGAATGTACATTTTCGCATTTATTGTTTGCTCTGAAATATTTTGTCACCTAGGTATACAGTAGGTCTTGTATAGAGGCCACAGCGATGTTTCGTTTTAAAATGAATGGGTCAATTCTCTTAAATGAATCAGTCAAACTGTGTTCACTATACTAAGTGATTCATTTGAGTTAATCTGAATCTTTGCATCTCCTCTTTTTGAAATCTGTAAACCTTCATCAAAGGGTCTAAATTGATTTAGGCTTCACTTACCTGTGTGATTCACACCTTTTTTTCAGTGCAAGCACTTCTCAAATGTATTTTTTGGACACTTTCAAAAGACAGAGGATTGTTTGTTATTATTTATCACATGCTGAAAATGAATCGGTTGTCAGTGATTCTGTGTTCTTAAGGAGCTCGAGTTAAAGCCTCTTCGATTCGGCAGTATGTAACTGGCTGAGTTTGTACAGTGGCACAAAGTGGGTATTGATGCAATGAACACTTGTGTAGCTGATATTATTTAAACACACTTTGTCCTTGCCATTGATTTATTATCCCGCAGTTGACGGATGCGGCCCTGCAGAGTGGATTACATGACAGCTAAGAGTGTGTGTGTGTGTGTGTGTGTGTGTGTGTGGACTTAATAATAGCTCATAACTCCAGGCAGATAGCGTCTAAATTTTCTGCATATGTGGGCAGGTATGAGAGAGCCCATGTTGTTGAGAGGTGTTGATCATTATCAGTTGTTTGTTAAAGACAGGTTTCTTGGCTGAGTTCACCCGAGTCTCTGTTGTGTTTGGATTCTAGATGGCTCTACTAAACATGTTACAGTCACTTAGAAAATAGAAAGAAGCTTGATGCTTTCTTGGCCCATTTCTGTGATCTGTGAGTGTGTGTTGGGAGAGATCATCTGATTGCTGGTGGATCTGATTTCTCATACTGATAGCAGGTAAATATTAGGAGATGGCGAGAGAATTACAGTTAATACATGGTCCAAAGGAGAGAATGCAGAAAGTCTGCAGCAAAGCCACAGCATAAACAAAGAGGGATTGTTATGAGACAAGAACCTGCAAACACTTCACCCAGGTCCTTTTCACTTCTAATCCTAACCACCAAATCCCCCTGTTTTTCTCTCTCTTTCTTTCTATTCCTCTATTCATCTTTTTAGGTCTGTGTATCCAGAGACAGTAAGTTTGAATTGATCATTTCAGACAGACAGATTAAAGCAATAAGCCACAAGAGGCCGCACATTACAGTGAAGTTAACGTGAGTAAGATGTGTTCTTAGGCACAGTATGAAACTGTGTATGAAGTAAAGTAGCTGTTGTGATAAATTTAACACAATGTGTGTGTGTGTACATACATATATGTATGCATAATGACAATGAGGCATAACATGCCTCCTCAAATCAGAAGTGATAATCAAATGTTGAACTATCCATTTTATAAATCAGAATATCAGGTCTTAATTCATTAATCTTTAAGTCTTGATGCGCAAGTGCACAAGTGTGTGTGTGTGTGTGTGTGCATGTGTTTGTTACTGAAAGTCTTCATTATGGTTTAAATAGACACTATACTGCAGTCCTTCTTCTTATTACATACTACTTACATTTCCATACATTTTAAGACCCTTTGCACATTCGTATGAGTGTTTTTCTTTTGTTCTGCTGTTATTAGTTGGAGTTGGTTCACCTCATTAATGCTCTTTGAAACTCACTGCAGGTCAGCAGATGAGTTATTAATGAGCAAAGAAACACATTCTCTAAATGGTGTCTGAAACCACCTGTTCACACGAGGAGAGACTTCCTTGTACCAGATACCTGCGCAGTAATGCACACACCCGTACACACAGACAGAGGCACAGGCGTGTGAAGCACGTACACACTTGCTGGCCTGTCAACCTGTAGGATGGGTGTTTTCAATGTAATTATCAGTTCCCCTGAAGGACATTACTTAGATACTTACATAAAGTCATAAGTGGTAAAACAAACGGCTCGGTGTGTGGTGTTATAAAAAACAGTGCTGTGTGTGTGTGTGTGTGTGTGTGTGTGTGTGCGTGCGTGTGTGTGTGTGTGTGTGTGCGTCAGAGTGTAGCAGGACTTGTTTAATTTCTGACAGGTTTGTACTGAAATGTTTTTCCTTGTCCATTCTCATCAGATTCTTTCTTAAATCTATTTTTTTCATGTCAACTATACACAGCACGTTAACTATACAAATCATACAGACCCCAAATTTTGGGGTGTTCTAAAAGGTTTTTCTTAAAGGTTAGAGATTGTCTCTAGTAATTATGATTAGCTTTATATAAAAACAATAGATGTCTATGGTAAGTCCTCACTTAGCCAAGTCAACGTGTGTTTGAGTGTGTGTGTGTTGCTGATTTCCCTCAGCTCCCCTATACCACTTCTGGCAGTCATGAACAGATGGCAGAAGTTATGCGCTGTAAGAAGTCCAACAAACACACACACAGAGATGTGTACACTTCTCCTTTACCACCCATGGAATGAACCTCTGCCTTGGCAATATTCCTGCTCCAACACATAGCATCCCACACACACATCCACAACAAACCAGAGCTTGATGTGTCGCACAAACAGCAGTCCATCCATCAATCTCCTCTGGAGTTTGGTTAGATTTAAGCTTTGGCTTAGCATCTTATATATTAGGCTCCTCAGGAACACAGAGTCCTCTATGACGGCTGCTTTCGCTCCTGGGATGCTTATGAATAGTTTATAAAGCATTAATAATGCATTAATGACAGTGTAACAACGCTTATACCGCACACAGATCAGTTTGTAACCGAAAGTGATCAAGTGCTGGCTTTGTTTAGCAGTGTGCAAACATTATAAACTGTTATAATGTTACACAAGGACAGCAGGTCGTATGAAATTTTTGGTTTCAGTTATTAGCCGTTTATACTGTGTGATAGACTAAACAGTGTGTCACATGTTTAGGGGAATCTGTTTTTGTTTAAAATTTTGAGTTATAAATGGGATTGCATATTCATGTTAATACGCTCAGACTGTGTGTGTGTGTGTGTGTGTGTGTGTGTGTGATTTGGGATCTTGCTGAGCAGCTGTTGCCAGTTGCTTCTGGGTATCATTGGCTGGAAGGAAGCAAGGCAGAGGATTAGTACTTTTCCTGCCCAGTAATACCCTATCTCTCTCTCTCTCTCTTTCTCTCTGAAAATGCTGTTTCTATTCAGAATAAAAGACAGAGTGGGTAAAGGGGGAAGGGCAGGGGCCATGGAGAGGTGACGTGTTTGTGTGTGTATTTGCTTGATCGCTTGTGTTTCTTTGAGGGCAATTTGAGGTCACAGAGTTGAAAGAGTAACATCTCACTCAGCTCATTTCTTATTCTTTGTGAACTTTGTTCGCAAGACATCTCACTTGGCTTTCCAGCAAACATTTACAAATTTGACATACAACAATTTAATATAGTGATAGAACCATTTATGTTGGCCAAAATTAAGAATCAGACAATGTTTGGCTATTTTGAGATATATATGCACTTCAGTACATTGGCTTAACAAAATTAGTTAAACTTATTTAAGATGTCCTTGTTACAGTGTAATTATACAATTAAGTATGGATTAATTTTAATTAACAACATGTACTTATACATACTTATACTTAGGGATTAGGGTTTGGTTTAGGGTTAGTTGCTTGTAGTTGTGCATAATTTACTATTGTACATGTAACGTGTAACAAGGACACTATAAAATAAAGTGTTATCAAATATTAAATTCATAGGATATTCAACATCAGGGTGGGATCAAATGTAAAAGTACCACTAATATTAATATTGGGGTGTGTCCTAATAAATTAAACATTTAATCAAGAACAAGCCTTAATTTCAACTCCAAATTAAACACTTTTTATGTTCAAAATAAGTTTTTGTTAACCCTAATTCTGAGAAAATTATTTAAGAGAAGAAACTGGATCTGGATAAAGACATTTGTGAAATATCCAAAGATGTGCTGATGTTACTTTAGATAAAGAGCATGTGTTTGTTCATTTTACAAGCTGCTGCAGTGTGGATTGAGTGTGTGTTCTGTACAGTGTGTAGGGTTTGAAACTAGGCCAGTTCGTCTATGGAATGACAATTAAGATGGTCCGGTCCCTGATTACAACCTGTGTGTTTGTTACAGTGTGTGTGTGTGGCTCTTTGAGTGTGTAGACATGTGAATGTGTTGGAAAACCTTTGAAAGAATGTTTTAGGACAAAGATTAAAAACAAAGGTACATGTATATTTATATATATTTGTATGGATGTGTGCTAAAGAGTTTGGCTCAGACTCTGGATGTTCAGTACATCCAGCTTCCGTTACTAATTAGCGCACTGATGCGGGAGGGTTTGTGTGTGTGTATGTGTAGACAAGGCTTTTTGGATGCAGCAGCTTTCTTAAACTTTCCTCGGGGCACGCCGTCATACACACACACACACACACACACACACACGCCTCAACAGGACAGAATAAAAGCGCGTCTTTCTCCCCCGCCAGTCTCATTCAGAGGAGGATCCGGCTCAGAAACGTGAGGTTTTTACATCCGGCATCTGCGATTCACACATACATTGGATGCAGACTTCAGCTTTAGAAAGATAGTTCTTTAACTCAACAAGATTGGATGATGTTGAGGCTGAGGGAGCGGAAAGGAGATTGCATACGAGAAGTGTGCGTGAGACTGTGTGCGTGAATGTGTGTTGTGTTCAGTCTGAAGGTCAGACGACAGTAGGGGATGTTGACTGAGTGTATCACGCCAAACGGCTGAAAGCAGCGGGAAACGGCAAAAGAGCAGACTGGCACAGCTCCGGTTGGTGTGAGTGTGTGTGTGTGTGTGTATGTGTGTGTGAGTAGATAAAGGTGCAGACTAATTACCTGCTATAAATCAGCTACATGTATTGATTACATTGTGTCACAATAGATCACGTACCTGTGCTTTCAGCCATGTCTCTGTGTGTGTGTGTGTGTGTGTGTGTGCAGACTCTCAATCCTCCCCCCATATTCTCTTGTTTTAACCTGTCGTTTTGTTGCAACACCCAAAACAAGTGGAACCAGAGACTGTTAGTCGTACACACATTTATCACATGCTGTCAGCTGTGTGTGTGTGTTAGTGAATGTTGGGACTAACAGCATAGCGACTCAATACACGTCCCTAAAAACAAGCAAATAAATCAAGAGGCCACATTAACCCCCACCCAACACACACGTGTTTGTGAGTGTGAATCATTTTTTTATTCTAAAAATGCAAAACGCTTACATATAAAATACCGTTCAAAAGTTTGGGGGTTTGAAAGAAATGAATACCTTTATTTAACAAGGACACATTAAACTGATCAAAACTCAATCATTACTGCTACAAAGGATTTCTGTTTTAAATACATATTGTTGTTTTGAACTTTCTGTTCATCAAAGAATCCTGAAAAAAATTTATCACCACTGCCACAAAAATATTAAGCAACACAACTGTTTTCAGCATTGTTAATAATAAGAAATGTTTCTTAAGCAGCAAATCAGCTTATTAGAATGATTTCTGAAGTATTATGTGACACTGAAGACTGAAGTATTCAGCTTTGCATCACAGGAATAAATTACATTTAAAAATGTATTAAAAGACAGTTTTTTTAATTGCAATAATGTTTCACAACATTACGTTTTTTTACTATTTTTGATCAAATAAATACAGCCCTATAAGCGATTGAGAGACTTCAAAAAATTTAAAAGTCTTACCAACCTCAAACGTTTAAATGTGTGTATATCATTTGATTTTTTTCTTATATATTAAATATTATATTGAAAACTAACAGACATGTAAGATGTCTGTTAAACACACACACTTTATATTGAACACACATACAGCACTTTTAAATTAGATGCACAAACACACACAGAGTGTTGACCTGTTCGTTTCATAAAAGCAGTCAAATATATTCCAGCAACTGCTGTGTTGCCCATGGCAGCAGGTTTTAAATCACATCTCACATATTACCCTGCACAACTCTGGCAAAACACTAAAAACCTTTCATCTTTTCCGCATGATCAAAGGAAAACTGTCCTCAATACATGCAAGTGTGTGTGTGTGCCGAATATAAAACAGTGCTTGATTCTACAGTGATTATGAAAATACACGAAGCTGATTATAGAGTGAAAGTATGATTACAGTCTTTGGAGGACGGTAGCGTTGTGGTCACGAAGGTCAGGACATTGCCAAAGGTTCACATCCGGAATGGTTGACCACTGCTGAAATCTAGTAATCTACTTTTGCCTTTAGCCAATCAATGTTGTCATGATGTCATATCCTGTGGCTTCAGAGTGATTAGACACATGATACTTACGGCTCAGATTTCCAGTCACATATTTTTGCCAAGCAACTGCCATTGAAATAAATGGAAATGCATAGCAGAAAGCAAATACATACTCTGCGTTATGAATTTCAGAGAACGGTGACACATGAACGGGGTTTGTGAGTCTTCATAAAAGTCTCACCTGATCTGTGGTCCTCAAGAGGTTTCTATATGAGCCCTGTAAAACTTCAGTGCTGACACTGGCTCTATTCTCCACACACCTCCTGGGAAATATGGGAACACACAGTAGCCATTTATGATATTTATTTATAACCCCTTCCCCCACGCACATTAGTGTCTTTCACTGGGCCCAGCATATGTTACGCAAACACACACTCCCTCTCTTTCACAGGATATAGAATAGACACGCACACACAGCGGCATTTATTCACTGAAGGGGCCGCCGTCTGATGTCAGCGCTGTGGTGCCTGTGGATTTGAGTGGTATAGAGGTGTAAGAAAGAGACAGAGAAATTAGTGAAAGACAAGATGAAAGGTAAAAAAAGGGGATGGAGAGGCAGATGTGACGGCGTCAAGAGTGAACCACACAAGAACTGATATGAGAAGTGATCAAAGAGATATTAACACTTCACGTGGCCTTCAGAAAGCCTCAGATGGTGTGGTGTATTTGGACTTTGCACTTAACAGCGTGTGTGTATGCGTTCACATGTAGCGGGCGATCTATAATTCATACACCCAATTCTGTATTCCACTCCAGCTTAGTCTTGTCTGCAAGCCGTCTGCCATCACACTCCTGACCTCATACACACACACACACACACACACACATGAGCGCAACATCTATCAAATGTATCAATCCTTTGTAAGTCTGTCACCGCTCTTCCCGGAGATGAATGTCACTTTGAAAAGAGAGAACGAAAGAGTGATAGAGATGCTACAGAAAGAAAACCAGGTTTATTGGAGGTGATGGAAAAAAGAGAGGGAAAATGAAGGAAACTCTGTCAGGTGGAATATTTATTCCAGCATGTTGCATTTCTGCATCTCAGTGGGGTCTCCATGCCGTTCACCGGGGTGGTTAATAAACATATTTGTTTATTTTTCCTGGTGTGCGTTTGTGTGATTTTAGATCCACCTTGGAGCAAGAATGTAGTGATTTTTGTAGTATTTATACTGTAGATCTGTCTGTCTACTGTCTACTCTACTAGATGCAATTATTTTCTGCAAATACCTCAGTTTTTAATCAAAATGTAAATCTTCTGGTGAAATAACAGACTTCTCTCTGCTGATGTATGCTGTACTTGCATTCAAATCTGCCTCCATCCAATCAACTGAACCAAGCATTTTTCTGCACCTTACTTTTTTTTCTTTTTTTTTTTGATAATCCATTTCACTTGGATGTCTCAGTACTGAAGAAAAGATGTTACTTCTGTCTAATCATGATTTAACCTGCATTCTTAATGCTATCAAATCTCAAGAGTGCATGAGTTACACCTGAACAATTAGATTAGCTACCTAAAATGTTTGCTTGCTATAAACATGTCAACTTTCCCTAACTTGCTAAGCAAGATCACCTTCAAACTGTTGCTATGCCCTGGCAATGGTAAATAGAAAAACAAAACTTTTCTTGCGTTCTGAATTGTGCTTGGACACATTTTGGAATGCAGTGACACATGACACAGTTTACTAGTGTTTGGAAAGTTACTTTGGAAATGTAATAGGTTTCTAATTTCTAACAAATATTTTCAACTGTTAATCATTTTCAAACATTTAAACCTTACATTAGTACTCAACACTGATTACTGTCAGACTTTCAAAATCCTTCTTCACTAGAATTAAGATTATAATATTTTAATTTTAAAGCACACCACCACAAAATCAGACCCTTTGTAATCGTTGACATTTTCAAAAGTAACTAATTTAGTTACACATTTTTTCTCAGATTACAGATTACAGTTACATTTATTTTGTAAGTAAATTACGTAATTCTGTTACATGTAACTAGTTACTCCCCAACACTGCAGTTTATGTAGCCTTACTATATAGCTTAATGTGTACCCTCAAGTCATAAAATGTCTGCATAAATCTAATTTCATTATCGATACTTTCATTCACTGCAGATTAAATTTACTCCATTAATACATCTTTCTCTGTTTTCTCTCTGTTAGATTGGGTGTCGAGTGAGGTGGAAGTGTTTCTGGAGGACTATGTGGCTGGCGTCGGGGACACTGTGGATCTGTCCTGCACACCGCGCGACTTCCTGGTCCCCATCGTGTGGCAGAAAGACGGCGACGCCATGTCTCCTAACAACCGTACGCGGGTGGGGCAAAAAGTGCTCCGTATCATCAACGTCTCCTATGAAGACTCGGGGGTGTATTCCTGTAGACACGCCCACAGCAGCACGCTGCTAAGCAACTACACTATCAGAGTCACCGGTCAGTCTCTCCGAATAATATTTAAGTAGTGTTGTTGTTGTTTTAGTACAGTAGCACAAGCTCAGGCATGCAAAGCATTGATTGGAAACTTGCCAGTCAGACTCAGCAGGCAAACAGGTCTTGAGACATACTCCCAGCACATACCTGCAGGCTGACTTGACGTTTATCATACAAGCACAATAACACACACTCGAAAGCAGAATGTTAAATAGTCTACATGTTGTTTAATATTCCACACGGACTGAACAGGATTGTTTTAGACTGTGACGAGGGCTTTACCCAAATAAAAATGAGGAAATTACAAAAATAGGGCCTCTCTGGGAAGGTACGGAGGAAAATGGCATATTTCGGTCCCTATAGATTAAAATCAGTGTGAAATATTCTTGAATAGACACTAGAGTTGTTGTTTGCGTGCGCGTCACATTTGGACCATTGAGACGGCCTGTCAGGTATAGTTATCTTTACTATACAAACCTGTGTAAAGTGTCACTGACTATGTTTAGAATGGAATCTAACCACACTGCTTACTATGTAGTATACTCTGTAATGTCTATTATTATTATCATTTAAAAATAGTGATATAGTAGGCTATGTATTATACAATGCTACACATTTCATACATTGCTGACACATGATCGGAATTCAGTGTGTGCCATTTAATTATAGGCCAAATGTTAGAACATTTTATAGTAGGAACGTGTTTATTAGAATTAAATTAAGAATTTTTCAAATAAAATGTATTATTTTTTAAAATGTAAAAATATTTTAACGTCTGTTTAAGTCAATCAATAAAGTTAAAGTAAAGAAAAACATTTATAACTGCTTTTAATATTACTTCCAGTTAAATTTGGCTAATGTAATAATGTCTATGCATACTGAAAATTTGCCTGATTTGCACAGTATACATATTAAATACTGCAGATTAGTAGAAGTATGATAGTATGCTATTTCAAAAATGTTCATACTGTAATAAAAATATCATTAACCTCTAAGACAAACAGACATTATTAGCATTTAAAGGGGCATGCCCCAAAATGAGTCGCTGTGAACAGAGCAAGGTAAAAACGGTGTTATTTTACACAACCACTGAGGAATTTTAACCAACGTTTGTTGCAGACCAGGGATGTCCCCACTTTTCACAAAAACAAACCTGTGTGTGTGTGTGTGTGTGTGTGTTTAAACGGTAGTGGACACAAGCTGAGCTGCTCATTGACAACTAATTAGAATGTAATTATCTGGAATCACCTCATCATTTAAAGCAGATGGAAAAAGTAAGAGCGCACGGAGAGCGCAGTTTTTTTTACCGACATGTGTTTGGCATTAGGCCAGGGCAAATCCTTCTCACCAGCGTTTGGAGAAAGACAGAAAAAAAGTGAAACGGGCACACAACCTGCACCAATTATCGCATGCTGATAAAGAGTCCACAAGACAGCAATATCCTGTTCTGCACACTTTAGCACAAGACACAGCTACTAGACACACTGACAGACAGCAACACACAACAGAGCTTTACAAAGATAGTTCATACAAAAAAAACATCATTAATCACCCATATTTCATTCCAAACCTGTTTGAGTTTCTTTTGTGTGTGGAACATAAAAGAAGATGTTTTACAGAATGTTCCAGCTGCTGTTTTCCATATAATGAAAGTGAATAGGGACTAACTTGTGTGCTATATTCCGAGTCTTCTAAAGCTTTGTGTAAGTAACATACAGAAAAAGAAAATGCTCTTTGCTCTTCATGGTCTTGCGTATCTTCTAATAAGGTGGCCCTAAATGCTCCACACCAGGTTTGATATCAATGACATCATTTGTTTGCATGGGTTTTGTCATTTACGTCTTGACCATTTTTAACTTTTGGGTGTGCTAATTTTTTAAAAACATGTAACACCACAGAACAACAACAACATTTTATAAGACAAACCTCCAGTAGCCGCTGAAGACTGTTAAGCCACAAAACATTAAAACATGAGTATATCTGATGGTTTGGTGCAACTAACACTGTGAAAGCCACACACAGAAAGCTTCAGTGTCCCAGTAACAGCATATCTTTAGCACTAAATAGGCCTAGTGTTGGATTTCACGCTCTGCTGGTATTTTAAGAGTGTGTGCTGTACAGTTTTACCTGTGTAAATGTTCACAGAGGAGGAGCTGAAGACAGAATAATCTCTTTTTCAGGGTCATGGCGTTTTTTCCCTCTCCCTCTGAATGAGTTCATTTAGAAGCAGAATACGAGAGAGTGTGTTTGTGTGTGTGTATTTCAGGACATGTGTGTAAAAATACAGCTGTTGTCAGAAATCTCTGAGACGTTTTACTCACTGAATCTTTGCTAACATCTGCCATCCATTAACCGCTGTGTGTGTGAGAGTGTTTGAGGGTGTGTGTGTGTGCAGTAATTGGTTTTGATTTGTAATCAGTTTATTTTCCTCATTCTGCAGATCATATGAATAGGATCGTTATTCATACAGAAAGGCCACTGTGCTGTGTAGTAATAAGATCGTTCTCTCTCTATGTCACTCTGTCTCTCTTAGACTCGCTGTCCTCTGGTGATGATGAGGACTATGATGAAGATGAGGACGATGCAGGTAATGGAAATGGTGTGTTTCACCCTCTTATTTATTATTTCAATCCTCTTTTTTGATTGAGATTTCATGAGGTCTCTCTGTTGTGTAATAAATGCATGAGATTGCTGTCTTTTTAGCTGGGGTTAGGTTGCATCTCATTTCATCAGCTGCTTTTTTCTCCCACTTGATGCTAAAACAAATTCTCAGGAGGGATCAAGAGAGAGAAAAGGAAAAGAAGAGAAATAGTTTAAAGTCTAACAGTGTCAAATGAAATGTAACAAAAAATTGGAGAAAATGCCACAATGTCATTGAATTTGTGTATAACAAGTAAAGAAAGAAACCAGAGGAAGATTTAATTTCTAAATTTTTTTGTGTTGGTAAGTTCTCATTTTAGTGACCTGGGTTGCGTTTCCCAAAAGTATCATAAGTTTAAGTGCATCGTAGACCCATTGAAACCAATGAAGCTATGATCAACTTAGGCTTACGATGCTTTTGGGAAGCGCAGCCCTGATTGATTTTTTTAAAATACATATGTTTTAAACACATTTTGATACATGTCTGTGCAAGCAAATATATGTCAATATAGCAAGAGAATCAGAATCACTGGTTTTGTCCATATTTAAAAAAAAAAAAAAAATGAAATAAAAGAGAGAGAAATGAAAACAAGGTAATATACAGTTCATGAATAGAGTAAAAAAATAATAATAATAATAATAATATTGATAGCATAGTCCAGATCTTTGAATTTGATAAGAAATGGTAAATAACGAAATAATCAAAAAAAGAAATAATAGAAGATTGAAAATCAGAAAAACTGAGAACAGTTTGAAACATTAAGATCTCTTCAATCATGTTATTCTTAACTAAAACTAAAACTATTAAAAATTATTTTTTGGTAACTGAAATCAAGCTAAAATTAAATTAAATACTCGGTGAAAAACTTAAATTTGAGTTTAAGTATTTAAACTAAAAGTGTAAAAAAAAAACGAATAAAGCTAACTTAAAGCTGCAGTCCGTAACTTTTTTTGGTTAAAAATGATCCGACATCAATATTTGAGCAAGTACATAACCAGCCAGTGTTCAAAACTATCGCCTTACTTTAGCCCGATTCACAACGGTTAGTTTATAATAATGTTTTCTAATCTGAGTGGTACTGGTAGGTTTTCCCGGGAAATTCGAGCATGCTGCCGCGTCATTACGTCACGTCTGTAAACATAAAGAAGTTGTCCCGGCTACTAGGCTATCACATGTGAGGATCCTGCAGGTGGCGGATCGTTTATAGCCTTTTCTCACAGCAGCTGGAATAATTAAATG